AAGACAATAAAGTCATATTTTTCATAATTGATTCTAAAGGAATCCTAGTTTTTATTATATTTCTTTTGTACCCACCACCACTGTACACGTTGGAAGGATTAGCAAATCAGCTCTCTCATTCCAAAAACCTTTTGAAGGAAATTTAAATCTCTCTTTGGTGGGGGATTTATAATGTATGTGTATAACCTATGGCCTTGAAGAGCTTGCCTCGTCAAAGACGTGAACACATAGAAAGCAAGTAAATAAAAATGTTTGCATACTGTTTGGCGTATTTTTTTATTGTGGGTGTGTCAAAGTTTGATTGAACTTAAGATTCAAATGCGTACGATCTTACCTACTCAAATCGGCATTAAGTTATTGAATTGTGTTTATTCAGGCAATTATAGCGAGGGGAAAAGTTTTCCCTGAATTTTTTTGTCATAGAGATCAAGTACTTAAACAATTTTTCAACTTGTAATGGAATAGAGTAAAATGTAAAAAGACAACTGTAATGCAAAGTAGCAGAGAAATTAAACTTTGGTAGATGAAAAGTGTTGTTTTGGGAGGGGGAACCCGATATGAATCTTTTCTCACGATTATACACATGAAGACCAAAATACTATACTTAAAAGGGGCGAATAGGTTTTTCGATTTTAGCTCAAATCAATTATCAATTAAAACCTATGTTTACCACAATTACTTCTCCTCAATCGAATGCATAATTAAATAATGAGAACTCCTTTAATCGCCACAACCCTTAACACACATGACAATTGATTAAATTAATATTTAATAAATTTACTCGTAATCAATCTCACGTCATTCCAAATTCTCAAACCCAATGCACAACTATCTATGGATAAACGTTCAATCAATTAATTCCATAAACACATAGTGCGCGTATTGCTACGTTGAGGTCACGGTAGTCGCAGCATATCCTAATCTTGTCATTCCTTTTTTTTTTCTAGCACAGTGTTAGACACCATTTCATCTATTGTGCCACCAAGATGCACTTGGCCTACAAGAGACGCTTGATCTCTTCATTTATCAGTATGTTTACTTCTTGAGACATCAAGCTCGAGGCCTGTTTGATCGGCTTGTGTCCATCCCTTCTAGGTAATCAGTGCTCCACTAAGGCCAAATATAACCCTGGCATCTCTTCGTAGCTACAGGAGAAACAATTTCGGTACTCTTTAATAGTTATATGTGTCGTGCTTAGAAATTCAACTCTAACAGTTTGCTATAAATGTTAGTCTACACTCCTCTGGGCCTCCAAGCTTGACTTCAAGTAAAGGATCCTGAACATCAATGAGGTCGTCAAACTTGGCTTGGGCAACACCAATTTCTTATAACTCAATGAACTCTCAGGAGGAATTCCTTCCAACCTCTTCCTCCTTGCATTCCACCAAATTAATGTTGTCTTTTTATCTGTCGACCTCCTGCAATGTTGCGACCTTCCTTTTTGGCAAATTTGTTCTTATCCTGGCAAAGCAGGCCCTCACAGTCTACTTCCTTCACTCACTGTCATTGGGCTCCATCATTGACCAAACTTTCAACATCTCTGGAATCATTCGGCCTTAGTGTGTTTGTGGGCCGAATGACCTCTTTCTCTACCTACTAAACTTCTATGGTTTTCAAGTCGGTCTGAAACACAACTTCTCTAGGCATTCCATACTTATCCTACCCTTGAAACTTCATTGGCCATGTGCACGTTGACCACGAATAGGGTATGATTAGTCTTCACTACCTCCAACTCTTCGAGGTTGCACAATACCCGCTGCTAGTGGATAGTTGATGGGACGCATTCACTCAGATGGATCTAATCTCCACCCAAAAAAGCGTTAGAGGATGTCGTCGTGTCTAGCATAAAGAAAAGAGTTATACTGACCTTGTTTTCGACGACCAGCTCAACTAGTAGGACTACCACCGTCTTGTTGATCTCACAGGTGAAGCCACTCACGTTCAACTCGATTTAGACTAAATCTTCTTCCTTCCTACACAGTTTCTTCGTGGTAGCTATGGGTAAGCTACTGAAGTCAAAGGAATGCTCCAACTGGACTTCAGCAGGTACGGCTTCATTTATAAATGTTGCACTTTGGGCCTCATACTCCTCAACATCCCCCTCCAGAGATTCTGATTGTTGGCCTGGAGTTTTGAAAGACAACGACAACAATCCATCGCTATCATCTTCACTAGTAGAGTCCTCTTTCTTCCTCCCCTTGCAAGTTTCTTTAAGGTGTTCCACCATCTTTCACACAATTCTCTCCTCAATATCCTCCTCTGACGAGGAATCGGACTCTATTCTTCCTTTTCTCTTCAGTCGTGACCTTCTCTTAAGCCACTTTGCACTGTTAAGTCAAAAAAATACCTAATCGTGACTTGATCATCCTTATCTTGGGATATTGTCGGCAAAAAGCCTCTTGGCCTCTCGGGTATCTTGCAATTGCTGCTCCCCCCACTGACACATGTCAGCTTGGATGCATTAATGCCTTTGTTTTTGGGTTTTATACAAAGGCCTTGGCTAGTGGCATTGCAAGAACTTCAGATATTAGGATACATACCAACGGCCTTCCAGTGGCTCTATTGGCTTAATCATACTAGGTCGATCCCAATATACCTCAACTCTGATGGGCTAATTAAGAGTCAACCTTGTGACAAATCCTCTATGTTTTGGGCTAAGTCAACTTTGTTGAAGCTCTGAAAAATCCCTGTCTTGCTCTTTGTAGCTTGACCTCATAAACTTGCCTAGTCAATCTTCGTAGTCCTGCTTGGGTAACAGCCATTTGTCTGGCTTCTCCCAGTAGGTGCCTTTATATTGCCATCTTTGTTGCGACCTTTAAGTCTTGCACCTAGAGCACAGGCCTTTCTTGACCTTATCGAACTACTCTTTGACCTCAACTGAACAGCCAAACTTCTTCTAGGGATATTCTTCTAAAGAATCATCTTCAAGGGAAGCGCCATTTTTCTTCACTGAGCTTCTTTGCCCCGCTCGAATTGCAAATGCTCAAGTTTACTTTCTTTTGCAGAGTTTTTGATTGCCCAACCACTACCATGTTAATGGCAGTAGTCTTTCAAAAATGGTCCTAATCAACTCCCATCTCTTGCTTTCTTTTATCACTGAAGATCAAATAGTCTTTGGTCAAGCCATCCTAATGGCGTTACAAAAAATCACACAGTTATTAGTAGAATGGCTCTATAGATTGCGTCATTTACAGTATATCTTGCTCCTCAGCTCTATGGCCGAAGGAATCTTGTGACTAAATGATAGTTTGATAATACCATCTGCAAATAGATGGTCAAAGATCTGCTCACCCTTCGAAATGCCGAAGTCTTACTTCCTGTTATTGCCATCACCGACACCTTTGTCAATGTTCGACGAAACTTGCGCCTAATTCTTTGAGACCGTAGCTAAGGCCTTGCACACATGTGGCCATCTGGCCACTATCTTTTCCATGTTTACCTCTAACTCGTGGTCTGGCTCAACCATGAGGATCTCTATATTGGGGTCTCGGTAATACATACTCTCGGGTGCATTTCTTTAGTCCAACTCCTCTCACAAGATCTGCTCATATTGCATAGCCCGTGTTGCCAACTCGAACAGGTTGTTGAACTTCATTCCTTTAAATCCTTCTAGAGTTGCAAACCTAGACCGTTCTGAGCAATGCACATGTACTCCCATCTTGGACAAGGCCAACCTACAACTGTTCCTAGCCCTATTTGAATTGTGCGATGTACTGCTACGCCATTTCCCCCGTTATCTAGTACAATCTAGCTAAATCGGTCATTACCACTTCAGGCTCAGTGTGGTAAAACTGAGCATGGAACTTGTCCTCCAACCACTATCAACTTAACACGGAGTTGGGTGGCAAGTCAATATACTATTTGAAGACCGTCTCAATCCAAGCATTAGCAAATTGCCTCAACTTTAGAAACTCATTAGCCCTTGCATTGCTGCATTGTACGGTAAAGTGACCAAAATGCTCCACAGTTGACTAACCGTCTTCTCTTGAAAAAGTTGCAAACACTGGGACTTGCACCCCTAAGGATACTCATATTCCCTATCTACCCAGTTAGAGTTTCTAATATATCGGCTTGGTAACACGCCTCATGGCAGGGCCGACATGTTTCTGGATGATTTCATCTGGTTAGTTTCTATTCATGACCACTTGGGGTACCACTGGTAAAACAATTGCCGACTGCCTTCTTTGTCATCTAAATTCAAGATTGGGGTCATGTCCTTCTAGAAGAGAGGATTGTTGTTTCTCCGATGGCCATTTCTAACCTCATGCTTCGGAGGCGGCATATACAACGTAAGCACTTGTTGTGGCGCCTCCGCTGGTACTGTTTTTATATAGGGAAATTGTTTTGGGCCCCTTGGATGATTCAAACTGTCAAACAGTACGGCCAAACTCTTCTCTAATCAAATCCCCCAGGTCATTGATGAACCCGAACATCTGCTGGGAGACTTCTTGCAACAATGCTTTAATCGAAACCTCTAGCCCTCAGTCTGATTCTCTATTTTCTTGCCCCTCGAGCAAAAGCAATTCTTCCTGCATTGGGGATGCCAGACCTGCCTTCTTGAGAGAGCTCTGATGTCCTGGTGACACATTCACCATTTTTTTTTTTTATATATTTTGAGCTTATGACTTCATTTTGCAATATGAATAACAAAATGTTGCTGCTTGATTCATATTTATCTTGGACATTTCAACCATGATATTAAAAGTGAATTAAAATTGGTTATGAGATTAGGATAGAAATACAATTATCGTTTTATGTGGAAGTGTAATACTGGAATACATTATAGCATTAATGGAGTCTTCAACATTTTTGGAACAAATTAGGAAAAGTAGGACTTGATTGTCCAATTATAAATTTAATAAGACTCAACTATTTTTTGAGAGAAAACTATTCTCTTCTGCCATCGAAGCCACCGTTTCCTAGCCATAATTTACATCACTCTTGAACTGGGAACCACATTGAAAGCAAAATGACTTGACCAATTCATGCCAACACCATTGGGTGGTTTAAAATGAAGCTTGATTATACCTATTTTCTTACACAAGGAACCTGCTAAAGAATGTTTATACTGCAGTTGCCAAATGAATTCTCATAAAATTTAGCTAGCTGGATATTTCAAGCCAATTGAAAGGTATTCAAGGCCTTACTAATATTTCCCAAACGTCTTTTACATAGGGCAAACATGGCAAAACCAGATTGATTATAATTACCAAAAATGCTGCCTACATTTGAATAATTACAACAGCTGCTTACAACAAGAATGAGCATGATTCCCAAGAAGAAATGTGTTGATTGCTCCTGAATGAATTAGAAATCAACATGAGAATATTTGTTTCTTCAATAGATATTACTCCTTATTTCTAGACGAACGGTCTTTCCTATGTCCACCAAGGATACGAGAAATTTGAAGACCTCTGCTGAAAGCTTGGTTGAATAACATTCGAGTTTGGAATTCTGAAACGAAAGGAAACCAGGCAAGAAAAGCAACTGGAGTAAACAGTAGCAGACCCATTATGATTTCATAGCCCCGAGCAAGTGTCCGCACAGATACCCAAAATCCAGCTCGCTGAACAAGAGGCTTGCATGCTTGTGCAATCTGTAAACAGAAAGTAGAAGAAGCAAAACAATATGAGCTTACATGCAAAAACAGCGTAGAAATAAACAACTTATACCCAGACAAGAACCTACAGATTCTAATACCAAGAATCCACCAACTTGGACCAGAATGGGCCACCTCGCCAAATTAAAGTTGCTTTGAATGAAATTCACAATCCGTTGTAATTTAGGCTTCCAAATTATAATGAAAAAAAAAGACCACACCACTGAAACAAGTTTAGTTTCATCAATTGAAAAGAATGGTACTTTTTTTAGGGTTATTTTTAAGATTAATTATTTTTTACCTCCCTATAGTTTCAACTAGCAATACCTTACTTAACGTTTAAAATTATGCACATTACCCCCTTGTACTTATGTACTAAAGTAAAATGGTTACTTTTATCATCCAAGTCAACGAAGTGTACTCTACACGCCTAAAACATATTGTGACCTTTGTTTCCATTGTTTCCCTCCAAAAAAACATTGTCTAAGTGTCTAAAATACCCGTTATATAATATAATACCCAAATAGGTAGGACATCGATCACAAATCAAAAAACATGTAAGAAAAGTATAAGTGATTTTCGGCCCGGAAAAAAGAGAATCGACATGCCTGAATGAAATGTGTCGAATTGTTATCATGTTCCATTAATTTTATGGTCAATGGTAAATCAGACAAAAAGTCTACATAGGTATTATGATAATTTTTTAATTTCATTAACGGCGTCAATTACTTCACGTTAGTATATAACTATAAGGGGGTAATGTGCATAATTTTAATCATCAAGTAGGTAAGGTGCTTCTAACCGAACTACAAAGGGGGAAAAACAATTGACTCTTATTTCTATCAATATTTTATAAGCCATCAAATCGTTATAATCCATCCAACATTTCACAAGGTGGCCCATTTTGCAGTGCGTCCAAAACTAACTAAAAGGAGAAACATCCCTTCTGCAATTTACTAAAAAAATGACATTCGGCAACTAGAGAATTTAGTGCAAGCTACTCTAGAAAATAGAAAATTAATGATAACCAACACGCGAGACAGAACAAATTTACTGACCAGAAGCAAACCCCAACCAGTTGGCATGAAGGCAAGAATGCAGACAACAATGTCCTGCAGCGTCATATGGGGGAGGGCAATCAAAGTAACCAAAATAGATACAAATGTGAGGAAGATCAATCCCTTGATAAGTCGGAACGCAAGTTGAAAATTGGCACTAAATTTTTGCCGTCCAACGGAAATAGTCTGGATTGAGACAAAGAAAAAAAGGAAGGCTTACTCAGAATGTCAAAGTGTAAAGCTACTCAATAAGATCCATAATCTCAGTAAAGCATATTGATTGATGCAAACAATAATTCCCAAGTATGCATAAAATCAAAACACAGGATACAGTACTTAAGGTTGCTTTGCTGCATATCTGCGAACTAGCCTAAATAATAAACCATGTTAAGCATGAAAATCAATTAACAGAGAGAATCTCAACTACTATCTTTCTCTTTTTCTTAGAGGGTCTCTCTCTTCTTAAATTTCTAGAATTATATGATCATTTGGACAAGCGTAGCATAAATTAATTTCCAAAAAGTGCAGCTAAATACAACCAAAAAAAGGAGGAAATGAAGTTCCTATTTAAAATTCCACAAGGAATATAACACTGTAGAGAAAAAAAAGTTTCAGACTATGCTGTGCAGAATCATGTAAAGGAGAAATAACAAGAATTTCGCTGTCACCTTCATCACGAACAATATTAAGAAGATCACCAACCATGATATGCCATAAACCTATCACCCAAGGGGAAAAACATTAAATGTATTTGACGTCCACTGTGAGCAAAAAATTGAAGGCATAGGGAAAAACAGCAACATACCAGAACACTTTTGGTATTCTTTGTCATGTTTAAGTGATAAACAAGCCCATACTGATAGATGAAAAATCGTAGAGCTAACAAAATCTCAGAAATGATACCACGCTTTCCAGAGTGACGAAGATGCTCTTGTTCCTCTTCCCACCATGATTCCCAACTTTTTTCGGGGGGAACACCAATACCTCCTCGGTTGCTTATCCACTTGTTCCAATCAGTCCAATCATCAACTATCTTTTGCCACTCAAAACCAGATGGATTGAAGAGGAACGGAGCAAAAAGCCAGGTACCCACCATGAACCATATTGATACCGTGATCAATAGATAAGCAACTGCACCTCTATAGGATTGACCAAAAATTTGGTACACAAGCAGCAGAATCATAAGCTCAATTCCCTTTACAAAATGGCTACGAGAGTAAAGTCGATAATTCTCAGCAAACTTGGCATGAAACACCACAAAGCCACGTCCTGTAGGCCTATATTTTGCACCTCCATGAAGTAATGTCCTTCCATAATAGTGAGTTTTCGTTCCAAGAGAAAATGTGAAAAATACTGGTGCCAGTTGTAATTGCATCAGTATAAATTCACTTAGTGCAGTTCGGAAACCCCTCTCTAGTCCGATTTCCATCATCATAGGCAGCGCCATCAAAACTCCAATTTGCACAAATGACTGAGAAGCAAGAGCCACTTGAAGAGGCTTGTTGTCTCGAATTGCTGGTTGAGTACTCAGACCTTCTTCAAGTCCACTGAGAACAAGATAAAGCCGACCATATAGGAATACATACACTGTAAGCACAGTAATCTGCCAAAGAAATGAGAACAAGTTCAGGACAACACAAGGTGATTAATTGTCTTTTGGAGGAAACAAAGTAAATTATGCACTATACCAAAGTACTGAAGTAGAAACCAATGGTGGTAAAATAACATGATAACATCCGGAAAAAGTCAAAACGATGCCCAAGTCTGTATACATCACGACTCAAAGTTTGCTCCCCATTTCCATTGGCTATTTTTGCCTCAAATAGAGAAATCTGATTAAGGCCCACATCCCTGCCTTTCCCAACTTGAATATATTCATGATGAGTTACATTGCCTTCACGAAGTGTGGAATTAAAGCCTGCACTCAAGATCACACGGAAAAGAGTGACATGATGAGCCAGATCATGATCAACAAATTAATTTAGAAAAATTAGAACTCCACTAGTATAACCGTACCAGCAAATATGTCCTCACTCAAGTTGATAATCTTGGAGGCTTTGCTAACACCCACTCTTGTGAGGTGAAATAGTCTATCAAAAACATCTGGATGACCATAGTGAAATCGAACCCTGGATGAGCAAAAAAACAAGGAACACAGTGGAACTTCGGTACATAATCAGTAAATCTTTATGCAAACACAACAACTACAGAAAAAGTGAAGTTCAGGAAATTTAAAAGCTTAAGCAAATTCAAAATGAAGAGAATTTTAATAATAATAATAATACATATAGATATATATATATAATATTAGAGATCTTGCAAGCATACAGATGTGCCATGAAGGAACCGGATCATCGTTATATGAATGTTTTAGACATCATCATAAATATCATATAGATGTATAATTTAATATTTTCTGTCCAACCCCCACTTCCACAAAACAGGATAAAAATATATGCACATGTACATATATGCAAATGTACATAAACTCGAAAAAAGATCTCTTACTTCAGAGGGTTGGCCAACAATCTTTGACCAATAGTCACAAAACTGGTCTCCTGGTTTGACATAAACCAAGCAAGAGAAGAAACACTGTATCATAAAGCAAAAGAACAATTAGCAGTACAATCAGAGAGCAAAATAAAAGAAAAGGAACAATTTGAATCCAAGAATTAAATAATGTAAGATGCCCACCTTCCAGTAAATATATGCTCTCTAAGTCCGAGTATGGTCGGGTACCGGACACCATCATGTTTTTTTAGAAATTCTTGAAGCAAATTCCTCATTTTTAAGGCTTCCTCCATGTAATTATCCTACACGTGGGTATTTCAGCAAGCTGAACAGATGCACGGCAATCAAGTTCGATATCAAGCAGATATGCCGACAATATACCTGATTCATGTCAATCGTTTGCAAGCCTTCTCCACGTGTGAAGATAATAGCATGATTCTGGTTTTCTGGCTTTCCCTCACCCAAGATAGCAGGTCCTGGAAGTTTTATTCGATAAATAACCTGCGTGTGAGAATCGAGGCAGTCATTTTAAAATGTTTTGGTAGATTTAAAAAGCAAAACTTGTGAGTCCATCTACGTCAGGCTCAACCAATTCTTTCTAACGCCAATGAGGAAACATGTAACCTTTTGTATGCTCCTTCTTTATGCTGGTTTAGTTTCCATTGTTTTTTATGAAGTCCTCTGTTTTAATATCACAAACAATTCTATCCCTCTCAAAGGAGGATTAATCACATATCTAGAAAGAGAGATTATTATTTGATTGCTGGTAGAACCACATCGAAGCAACTAACTTGAATTAAGAGCACAAACAGGTTCTTCCAATTGCAGAAAGGTTCCTGTAAGTGATTGTGGGGAGCAGCTCTTTTCAAGAAATGATTTTTTTCACAATGCAACCATATAATATTGCCTATTAATCTCGTCTCTTCCAAATTTCCATTTCCAAGTAGCCATAATCACTCTAGAAGAATTACCTGAGCAGACAACTATTATCAGTTTAACCTATCACCAACCATGCTGAATCTGCGATTTATTTAACCTCTGCCTATATAAGAAGGTGGATCCTCATGCAGCGCAAACAAGCATTTCAAGTTTGCTTAATTAGTCGGTGTATACCAAAAAAAGAATTCCAATGCACAGCCAGTGTGACAGGTTAGGATTAAAACGCTGGTTTTAAGAATAAGTAAGCCCTTCTACAACCCTTATCGCCAGAATTAATCTGTCTTTCATTAGACACTGTCTGCATTTCTATGTTCTTGCTACTGAACTGTATTATTGTTACAAACACTTCCACATTGATTGCTTCGGAAGTCTAGTGGTCAAATTTATTTTCCAGGAAATGTTAGTCCAGATCAGATAAATGATTAAATTTTGACCAAATTACTCCTCTTTCATTTTGTAAAAGAAAGCAGCATAATGTTTACCTGGTCCAAATTTTGTCCTGTCTCTGAAGAATTTGACTTGGGCACAGCCTTCACTAAAGCAGAATAATAAACTTTCTGATTAATTTTTTTAGACCTGTCTTTGTTTGGTTCTTCAACCTCATCAATGTAAGCTACCCGGAGAGATGGGTACCTGTTAAAAGGAAACACATACATTGCTCATAAGTGACAACAATCACAATCAACAAAATCGCAATATCCAACATACGTTGTCATGAGCCTTAGAATATCTTGTGCAAGAGGATCGCCGGATCGCTTGTGAATACCATATTGCTGGCATGACACCACATATGTGAACTTCATGTCAGCCACTGCTTGACATTGTGCCCACAATGACCTTTCCCCCTTCATCTGATCCTCATTTAATTCAATGGCCTTATAGCCTTCCATTAAATCTGATCAAGAAACATCAGCAAGTAGCAAAAGCATAAATAATTTGATTACATCAAATAGCTGCAAGAAATGGGTACTAGAGTGGCTTTTCAATGAACAACACTCTACATTATTCACGGATTTATGAGCAGAGAAATAAGTACCTTCATCCTTTGCCATATCAAGGAAGGCCTGAAGTTCCAAAGCTTTGCGGTAATACATCATGCCTCTTACTAGAGTTTGAAGAGATATATCAAGTAATTGAAAAAAAAAACAATTAACTCATTAACAAACTACAAGAAATCATGGTCTGAAACAACCCCAACCCTCCAAAAAATAAGGAAGAAACTAAAAGTTTCCCACTCCCCCAAAGAGACACATGGACACAGATCCTATACCAGTTTTGGTTAAAGTCTGTCCTCTGTATGATGCCCAAAGACGAAGTTGATCTTCTAATTCATCCGATCCCTTAAGTTCTTCTTCATTGCTGCGTTTCACTCGCTCAAGGAAATTGTTCCACTCGTCTGCATGTCATCAGTGTTCAATCCAAGGCGAAAAAGAAAGCAACAGACCATCATATATCGTCCGAAAAAATCGCAAACCTGGAAAAATCTTCTGCAAATAGAAAAGGATCGAAACTCCATCTTCGTTCTGTACTTCCAGATCATGCAATGAGAAGAGAACCTCCTCTGTGTAGTATGGAGTCAAAACACTGCAGTGAAAGTTGTTACATTATGCATATAACTGATAGAGCTGGTCCTATGGTGCTCATTATTAATTTGCAATATGCTAGTGACAGAAAGCGGTAGAATAACATCAATAAGCCTATCAATATCTTTAAAAAAAAAATGGCTCATGCTAGTGCATGAAGTGTGTACCACTAGGGATGTTAATGAACCGAAGCGGGGGCGGGGGCGGGGGCGGGGAGTATAATCTTCATCCCCGTATCCGCTTAAAAAATTTTCGTCCATCCCTGGTCCACCCCCGTTAATGGGTATAATTTTTATCCCCATCCCCGTCCGCGGATAAATTTCTAATCCCCGTCCCCGTCCCCGCTTCCCCCGTACCACCCCAAACCCAAGCCCAAGCCCAAGCCCAAGTTCAAGTCAACATAATCTAAAATTCTAAATAAATCCAACATTTTAAATAATCCAACAACATTCTAAATAATTTGACATCATCTAACACAGCATAATGTAGCATAACATATTCCAACACAACACAAATAACAAATGTCTAAAAAACTAGAGGTCTACTGCAGCCACTCACAAAAACCAGAGACTAGCAAAAAATTAAGGCTTTTGGGCAACAAAGTGCTTGTGAAAGAGATCTCATAGCTATTGTCCTGTCACAAAAGCAGCCTCCAAGGAGCCAATAATCCTTCCACAAAGGCTGCCTTCTAGGAGCCAAACAGATTGATATATGAAATGTGGTTCAAACTTGTAGTTATTGTATAAAAAACAGGATTATATAAAAAAGTGATATTTCAAATGCCACATAACAACATTTTTAGTTAACTCCAGTACATACACTCTTGCTTGATACATGTGGAGGAGGAGAAAAGAGGAATATGGATGAACAAAGAACAAAAGGGATATACCTGCATGAAAAAAATAACATAGAACAAAAGTGATATTTCAAATGCCACATAACAACATTTTTAATTAACTCCACTACATACACTCTTGCTTGATACATGTGGAGGAGGAGAAAAGAGGAATATGGAAGACCATAGAACAAAAGGGATATATATATATAAAATATATATATATATTTAACGGGTAAAAGGGACAGAGTGGGACCTGGACGGGATAAGGGTAAGTCCATCCCCGCACGGGTTTATACGGGTATTCCCGTATACGTCCACCGTCCAATACGTACAGTCCATCCCCGGTCCAAACGAGACAGATTTGGACGAATACTCGTTTTTTCCCGGTCCTCTGTCATCCCTATGTACCACCCAATACTCCTACAAGATCAAAAAGTGTAGATGTCCCATTAGAAGCAGTTCCCCACGTATGGGTAAGTTCTCTAGGACTTCAATGCTTTCGGAATACTTCCAGACCAAAGGGAGAACTGTCTCTAGTCTTAGGAGTCAATCAGGTTAGGTGTTTTGTGTGCACCTCCTAATGCTCCAACAGGAACAAAAAGTGTACAGATCCCAATAGAAGCAGTGCTCCAAGTCCTGGTAAGTTCTCCACAACTTCAGTGCCTTCAAAACACTTCAAGACCAAAGGGAGGAGTGTCTCGAGCCTTAGTACATGCCCCTAGGATCCATATTGAATAATATCATAATTAAAATCATCGCAGTTGACAGGTCCTTAGCCAGTTGACAGGCAGCAGTCTACTGGAATGGTTCTAGCCGAATGAAGGCAGTCGACTGGAACCAAACTATTTTAAGTTTATGTAAGCCTCTTTTGCTTGAAATATAAATTCACATAGTGGACGCACAACCAACAATCCAATGCTTCAAGTGCTCTCTCTCTCTCTCTCTCTCTCTCAAACATTCTCATAGCTTCCACTATTAACATTGATGATGCACCAAAGTAAATTTATGCACCACCAATCAAATATTTAATGCATTAATAAATGATGAGAGTCAACACAAATAAAACACAATTTAAGTGGTTCGGTCAAGATAACCTACTCCACTGTGAAGAGCTAGAATGGCCTGCGTGTATTATTACTTCAAGGAGTGTGGGGTGCTCAAGAGTGAGTGATATGAGATACCCCCCTTGTATAGGTAAAGCTTACAATTTATAGGCGCCTCCTAACAGATTGATACGCCTTTCTCGTATTAGCTGAGGTAGGTTGGTGGAGGTGGTGCCCTTCTCATAACAGGTGAGACGATTCCGTGCAAGTGGCAGCGTGCGCGTGCCAAGGAGATCCATTCACCTTTAGTTATGGATTGAGTTTCTCATCATGAGGCGACGGACTTAAATCTCTCTCAGGATGACGTGGTTGACCTAGCTTCCTAGAAGGTATTGTGAGACAGCCCGAGGCTGCGGTTGACCTGACCTACATTCTTAAACTGGGCTTCTGAGTTGAGCCTCGACTGTAATTCTAGGCTTAGTCCATAATTTTGGGACTTCTCTGGGCCGGGCCCATCAAACTTAACAGCGTAGCTGTTACCAAATGGGAGATAAATTTTTCTCCTCCCCCACATCTCTCTCTCCCTCCCTCTCTTCTTTGTGTGCGCATATGTGGTGATGGTATGAAAGAAGAAGACTCTAAATATTATTATCAATTAATACAGAACAAGCTCCAAGTAGGTTGAGTGATTTCCCAAGGAAAACAATTAGAAGTTAGAATATTTCGTCTTACATGAGGCTCCTTTTCAGACATTGGCCTGCCCACAGAAATTGGCCATACTACAAAGAGCATACTCAAATTGGCCTTCCCTGAAAACAATTACTGTCAACTTCATGAAAGCACAAGATTCAAACTTTTGAAGACCCTCCCAACTACCCTCAAAGCTAAATATCATTAAATCTTTCTAAAGATGTTAGCTAATACAATGATATGGACAATTGGATTCCCACATATGGACATTGTGTCAGGGATGTGTCTTGCACTAGGCAAAACCATTAGGTTGTCAAAACTCCACATAGATGAATGAAAGGTGTAGATCTGCGATAAATCAAATAGAAAATTGTTGATCAAGGACTAGGCCTCTCTACTTGGTCCATTGCCAAAACCAATAAGCTAACACCCCATGGGAGAACAGGTCAGCCCGTCCCAACCCAAAAGGGCTGTTGGGCTGCCTTGTAGTCCATGAATTTAAAACAAAGACTATTGGATCACGTTAATGCATCCAATCGAAAATTGATTGACAATGAGTGGAGAACCAAAAGTCACACTAGTTTCGATGGTGTTATTTTATCGGTGCAAAAAAATCTCAAAAACACTGCCATACCAGTGCTAGCGGCCCCCATTCACACATGGGGAGATAAACAAAATGATCAGAAGACATTCAAACACAAGTGCACCTAGCAAGAGTTGTAAGAATCTACTCTTTGCTATTGTTTAGTTTCCCAAATATGTAACTTTGCTATTGTCAATATTGCTAACGTTGATTAAAGAGACAAGAACGAACCTCATACTGTAAAGCAACATAAACGACTAAATTACCCCTAATATTAATATACTGTAATACTCTAACAACCCCTTCCCACCCTCCCCCAACCTCATGATGTCAAATCAAGAATATCAAGAGTTTACCAAAAAGAAAGCGAAAGCACACAATCGTATGGGATTTCATAAAAAAATCTAATAGCTACATGATAGAAGGAAGGAAGGAATGGGAGAGAGAAAGGGCCCTGCTGAAGATGATAACGGATAAAGTGGACGTCAATCTCAATATATTTTGTATGCTAATGAAAGACCAAATTATGAGCAATCTAAATAACACTGGTGTTATCACAATATATAGGAGTAGGGACGGATAAATAAATGTCAAGATCAGCAAGTTGTCATCGTAATCAAACTATCTCAGCAGTTGTAAATGTCATAGCACAGTATACAACCTCAGCTAAGAAACGAGTAACAACAGTTTGTTTATTACTTTTTCAAGAAATAAGAATCACCAAAAAAAGATAGAAATTAGTGGTGGATTTACAATCCACGAGGTCATCGGCCCAATCAGCATTGAAATAAGCCCCAAGTTCCATAGAATATGAGGAAGAAAATAATAGACTTTAATGCAGAGTACTTCAAAGATACCGAAGGATACAAAGAACAACAGTCCAATGAACTATAGTACTTGAGGCAACAAACTGACTAACAACATGTAAAACATAAGAGATATTTGGGCGGACAACTATCAAATATACCAGGCTCCCTACAATTGTGTGGTACAGAGTAGGATCAGGCAAGAAAGTACCATCAGAGGAAGAATAACGAATATTAAGCTCTAAGGGTGTCTCAACTGTCCAATATCAAATAAACGAGCTTGATAAATAACATCTGATGCATACTTAGATTGAGAAAGAAGATAACCTTTGAGAGATGAACCAATCTCATTCTCCAAGAAATACCGAAACAAACCCAAATCTTTCATCTCAAAATAATCTTGCAACTAACTTTTCAATATCAAATACAAGCACAGTCATCACCTATAATAATCATATCATCAACATAAAAAAAACAATAATAGAATCTAAGGAACTAGACAATAGAAAGAGATCTGAATCATGATCACTAGTACGAAAATCTAAGTCACAGATGACTGATGAAAACTTGACAAACCATGCCCTAAGAGCCAGTTTAATGTCATATAAAACTTTATGAAGTCTACAATATTTAACCGGAACTGAGACAATAGGAGGAGGAATCATAAAAACTTTTTCAGATAAATCTCTATGAAGAAAGCATTTTTCACATTCATCTGAGACAAGCTCCATTGTAAATGGCAGCTACTACAACCATAGGACGAACTGTAGTCATCTTAGCAACAAGGGCAAAAGTATCGTAATAGTCAAGGTCATACTCCTGAACAAATCCTTTCACTACTAATTGAGCCTTATACCTCTCCACAGAACCATCAATCTTTGTTTTGATCTTATAAACTCACTTACAACCAATAGTGTGTTTGTCAAGTGGTAAAGAACCAACTTTCAAGCTCAGGTATTATGTAAGGCAGATAGCTCCTCATCCATTACTTGTTACTAAAGAGGATCAAGTATAGCATTTTTATAGGAGGTGGGTTTAGGTAGAGAATGAATAGAAGTGAGAAAGGAACAATGGTCGAAAAAATAAAAAGAGTTAGAGAAGCCAAACCTATCTGAACACTTCCGAGAGTGCTGAGGATAGCGAGGAGCATGATCCATATTATCTGAACCTAGTTGAGTGACAGGAAAAGAAGGGAGTGGTATTGCATCCGTAAAAGTAACAACTAGAGTCCTACGAAAAAAAGTATGCACAATTGGGGGATAGGTGATTGACAAATCAGCGAAAAAAGAAGCGGAGGATGGTACATCAGATACAGATATATCACCAACATACGTATCATAGGGAACATCAACTGGAAAAGAATCAATGTAAATAAAATTGGATTGACACACAAATGAAGAGCTAGATGAAATTGAGAAGAAAGACAACAAGACGAGACATAAAATTTATGAGTAATCATCAATACCCCTTTTGACCTTCATCATAGCCAAAAAAAAAAAAAAATTGAGAAAGCAAAAAGTTTGGTACAAAGAACACTAGGGAGCAAGACAAAACAAGTACAACTAAACACACATCAAGAGAAATAATTAAGTGACTTACCACATAACTTTTCAAATGGGGAGACACTGGAGTTGAGGATAGCAGGAATACAATTAATCCAATGAATTGTTGTGAGGACTACTTCCCCCCAAAAGGAGCTAGGGACATTAGTTGATAGCAAAAGAGAGCGTGATGTCTCCACAATGTGATGATGCTTACACTTAGCAACATTATTCTACTCAAATGTGTTAGTATAAGAGGATTGGTAAATAGTACCATTAGCTTTTAACAAATCGCTAAAAGAAGTAAGAGAGTATTCACCTCCTTGATCACATCGAAAACATTTAATTACTGAAGAATACTGAATGCATATCATAGCACGAAAGATAGCAAACATAGAAAATAATTCAGATTGTTCTTTCATCAAATATACCCATGACATAATCATCAATGAAAGAGACATAAGATTTGAACCCTCTTTTTATAGGAATAGGAGCTGGTCCCCATATATCATAATGAACAAGATCAAATGGTGCAAGAGAACTAGTGAAACTTGTATTGAAGGGTAATCCAGTAAATTTAACTAACTTGCATCCGCTACAATTATAAATGTCATGGCACACTTACTACCCAAACCACCCATCAAGGCTACATTTTAATCTAACTAAGAAACATAACCTAGACAAGAATGTCATAGATAAAAACTAGATGATGGTGCACTCAAACAGAAAGAAGATAAATCACCACTAGAACTAGCAATATTTAGAACATGTAGCTCTTCCAACACATACAACCCTCCCTTCCTACAACATGTCTCAATCAACTTCTTGGACTGTGGATCCTACACAACACAACCAAAAGAGAAGAAATGAACCAAAAGTCCAGAATGAAACAATTGACTAACAGAAATTAAATTCAAAGTAAGCTAAGGAATATAATAGACATCTGAAAGTGTGAGTTGTAAAGAAATAACGATCCCAACACCGGCTAAAGACATTTGAGTGTCATTGGATGCAAGGACAGATACAGATGGTGGAGAGATAATAGATGCAAATAAGAAAGAATCAC